GACTTTTCTGTTAGAAAATGAGCCTCGTACCTTCAAGGAAGCAATGTCTTCCTCAGAGGCACAATATTGGAAAGAAGCTGTCAATAGTAAAATAGAATCCATATTGAGCAACCATACTTGGGAATTGGTTGATCTTCCTCCAGGTAACAAAACATTGGGTTCTAAATGGATTTTCAAGAAGAAAATGAAAGACGATGGTACTATTGACAAATACAAGGCAAGACTTGTTGTCAAAGGATTTAGACAGCGAGAAGGTCTTGACTATTTTGACACATACTCGCCGGTAATAAGAATTACATCCATTCAGATGCTAATAGCGTTAGCCGCCTTGTATGGTCTTCAAATCCATCAAATGGATGTAAAAATAGCCTTCTTAAATGGTGATCTTGAGGAAGAAATTTACATGAACCAACCTGAAGGGTTTGTGGTTCCGGGAAAAGAAAAGAAGGTGTGTAGACTTGTTAAGTCTCTTTATGGACTAAAACAAGCACCCAAACAATGGCATGCGAAATTTTACCAAACAATGTTATCAAATGGTTTTAAGATTAATGAATGTGATAAATGTGTTTACATTAAGAACGTTCCAAATCATATAGTCATTGTTTGCTTATATGTTGATGATATGCTAATAATGAGCAAAGACATTGCCGACATTCAAGCTACTAAGCGTATGCTTGCTAGTAAGTTTGATATGAAAGACTTAGGAGTTGCCGATGTAATTCTAGGAATTAAAATCCAGAGGACTCCTCAGGGTCTAGCTTTGTCTCAATCACATTACGTGAAAATGGTACTTGAAAAATTCAAACACTTGGAATTTAGAAGTGCAAGAACTCCAATTGACTTAAACCATCATCTTATAAAGAATAAAGGTGAAAGCATGTCTCAATTGGAGTATGCTCGTGTGTTGGGAAGCTTAATGTATATCATGAACTGTACACGTCCTGATATAGCTCGTGCAATAAGTAAACTTAGTCGATTCACAAGTAATCCCAACAAACATCACTGGGTGGCAATGAAACGAGTTCTGGGATATTTGGAATATACCCAAGACTACGCTTTGCACTACAATAAATATCCTGCGGTTATCGAAGGATATAGTGATGCAAATTGGATAACCGGCTCAACAAAAATAAAGTCCACAAGTGGATATGTTTTTACTGTTGGTGGAGGAGCAGTATCTTGGAAGTCTTCCAAACAGACGTGCATCGCTCGCTCTACCATGGAATCAGAGTTTATAGCTTTGGATAAGGCCGGCGAAGAAGCTGAATGGCTTCGAAATTTCTTAGAAGACATTTCGTTCTGGCCAAAACCTTTGGCTCCTATATGCATACATTGCGATAGTGAGGATGCAATAGGACGGCCAGGGAGCGTTATGTATAACGGAAAGTCTCGTCATATACGACGAAGACATAAAACCGTTAGACAACTACTCTCTAGTGGAATTATCACTATTAATTATGTAAGATCAAAGGATAATGTGGCGGATCCGCTTACAAAAGGCCTAACTAGAGAGGGAGTTGAGAAATCATCTAAGGGAATGGAACTATGGCCGAGGACAAGTCATCATGGCGGTAACTCCACCTAGAATTTTGGATATTTCGAGATCTAGGTTCAAGGAGCTCAAACAAAGTTGTGATTGACCGGTTCAACATTGTCAAAGTAAAATCTTTGGTCCTTTCTCGTGATGAAGACAATGTTCAGTAACAAGGATAGAACTTTACAGGTTCTTTAATGATTACCTAAGTTAGATGTGGTATTTATCAAATAGTGTCAATCTAAAGGATAACACGTTTAGGAATCACCTATGTAAGTGTGAAGTGGAAGCCGCTTCAATGAGAATTCTGTAAGGCCAATTCTCTACGCATTTATGAAACCAGGTGGTGTTCATGGCTGAAACGAACACAACAATGAGAACCAAAAGACGGTTAAGGGTTGGTTGTATGACATATGGTTGTCTAGGTATACACTAAAGTTCGACGGTTCAAAGATATCAAATCTACCGATTGACCGAGTATATCCGACATATGTTCACTACGGAAAGTTCAAACGAAAACCTACTTATCCAGATGCAATTAATCCTTACTTGCAAATCACACATCTTTCATCTATGATCATTCTTGTTACAGCCATTCCCATTCATGTGGGGGATTGTTGGACTTTAAGCATTGGACTTTGAAGACTTTAAGCATTGGGCTTTAAAGACTAAGAGTGTGAATTGGGAAATGGTGGAAAATAAAATGGAGGGAAATGAAAATTTGAATCAAGTGAGCTTTTGTCATGAACTTTGTACCACATTGGTGAAAGACAACTACACTTGTGTGTATAAATATAGGATCACTTCTTAGAGCTCTTAAAAGGAGTTGAAGAGACTGAACCCTCGCGCTGTCGTCGTCGCTCGCTCGGCTCGGCTTCGGCTTTGGATTTGGATTTGGAAAATGATCGATCGATAAGATTATTTTTGGATAAAATTTAATTAATTAATTATTTAATAATTAATTAAATGCCAGTCAGAATCGAGAATTTCCTTCTGAATACTGCATTCTACTTCGCAGTGTCTCTCTCTCAAATTCGTAAGTGTGATTTTGCTCCGTTCTTTGAGTTTGTTGGTATCCTGCAGTTTGTATTGCCACTGTTGCAGGAAGGTTTATTCCGTTTCATCCTGGGAGGATTTAATCCATTACCTTGGCAATTTGTGGACTTGGAATATTTCTTATCGTTTACAAATTTTCTGTTTCTTCTAACAGTTTTATTATTTCTGTTTTAACACAGTATAGTCTACAGAATCACCTAAAGCCATCAACTATTTACTCTTGCAAAGGGAATACAGAAGTTGCACCGGAATGGCTAAAGCAAATACACTTACTGAGCCACAAGTCGCCGCTTTCATTGAGAAATTACCTCCGTTGTGGAAGGACTTCAAGAACTATCTAAAACACAAGCGTAAAGAGATGACATTTGAAGATTTGATTGTTCGGTTGAGGATAGAAGAAGACAACAAAAATGCTGAAACGAAGTCACGTGGAAACTCGACAATAATAAGGGCTAACATTGTTGAGGAGGCGCCACAAAATAAGAAGAGAAAGAAGGCTTCTGGACCAAAGAATTATCCACGCAAGAAAAAGTTCAAGGGTAATTGCCACAACTGTGGAAAGTCTGGACATAAGGCCATGGACTGTCGTGCACCAAAGAATGATGTATAAAAGAAGAAGAAGAAGAATCAAGCTAACATGGTTGAAAATGTTGACGAAATGGAGGACTTGTGTGCCATGTTGTCTGAATGCAACTTGGTAGGAAATCCTAAAGAATGGTGGATTGNTTTTATTATTTCTGTTTTAACACAGTATAGTCTACAGAATCACCTAAAGCCATCAACTATTTACTCTTGCAAAGGGAATACAGAAGTTGCACCGGAATGGCTAAAGCAAATACACTTACTGAGCCACAAGTCAGAGCTACAGATAAAAATAGGTGGTGGTACGTTCAGAGGCAGATGTAGCCTAAGATCTATTGGCTCAATTTAACTCGTAACTTTCGGTATGAATTATAGATATATACGTAAAAACCTTTTAACTAATTCAATGTAAGTTTGAACCCATTAAATTTAAATTTTGGATACGCTCCTGGTTGGGGCGAGATTCAAACACCTAGCAGCTTGAGAAAAAAAGAAAGGTGTTAACCGGAGTATTAGACGATGCGGAAGAATGCAGATTATAATCCATGTAGTGGCGTACGTAGAATTTTTACAAACTTGCACAAGTTGTCTCTCTAATGGACTGGTCTTTAAATATTTATCTCGTTTATTACTTTGTTGCGAAAATAGGCCTTTTCTTCACCAAGAACACCATAGTTCTTCAATATTAGAAGTTTGAAATTCTTGTTTGAGGTTAAAAACTGGAAGTTAATGATTGATTGTTGTTAAAATCGTCTGAATGTTGATAATTGCTGTTTAAATTTTTAGTTCAAAAAATGATTCAGTGATTTGCTTTAAAACTCTCAACGCTCCATTCTTGTCCTTCAAAAACATTAAAGAAACGAAGAGGATCTTACTGATTTGGTGTTATTTGACTAACTTGGTGATTGAGGATTGTTTGTGTTGGTATTTATAATTTTTGTTTCAAATTTGAGATCACTTAGAGTACATTTGGGGTGATTTTATCGAAACTGAAATTGTAAATTTTAAGATAACACGAAATCATGTCAATCTGGTAGAGTTCGGTGAACAATTGAACAAGCACAAAATCACGCCAACTAGAATTTTGTGAACAATTTGACAAGTAGGCCGAATGAAGATAACATTAAGTTATGCCAATATGGTATAGCTTAGTGAACGACTATACAATCACAAAGTCATACCAATCGGATAAAGCTAGTGAATAATTAACCATATAGATGAAGTAAAGCATAAAATCTACCAATAATCCATGACAAGCAATAAATATATGTGGTTAAAGGGCCATTCCTACCAATCACCCCAGAATTTTCGGAAAGAGTATCACATATTTTGATAAGTGAAGAAAAAAGTGAACAAATAATTAAAATGACATCATATTTAAAAAAAAAAAAAGCACACAATTCAAAATAATACTAAAACTCTAATTTCTATTTTATGTATTTATAGCCTCATTGGAACTGTACTAAATGTCTTATTCTGGAAGTCGTCAATTATATATTGTCAGTTTTAACTAAATATGTGGTTTTATAGGTCTTTAATTTTGTAAGAGGTCAGTGGAGTATTATATTTTGATAGTCAAAAATAAAAACTTAAATCTACCGCCAACAGTAATTAACTCTCGCTCTTAATAGGAGCTTAGTAGCACTTAACCACTGGATCACTAGGCCTTTTTGCTCAAGTAGTGTCATTTATAAGTTAAATTTAATATCGGTACAGAGTTTCAACATCTTTCTTAGCCTGCATTTCTTCAATTTTAGCGAGATGCTGATAGTTTCAAGCATAGAACTGTATGAGGTCCACTTTTCACATTCTCTCAACAAACGTAACGGAAACCAAATCATTTGCACTATTTCCTGTCCCAGAAAGCAATATTTTTTTAAAATATCTTCCTGCTTTATTCTGAAAATACGGAAAAATGTTTTGTATAGATAATCTGTAAGAATTTAGCTAATTAATCTACGCAATGCCAACATAAACCGGACATTTTACATAACTATATCAGCTTTCTTCTTTTTGGGAGAATTAGTTCTATAACCAATTTCAGACATTGAAGCCTTCAGCTCGTAGGCACTTACGATGAGCCTCAATCCATTTCTCACAAGCGGATTGACCATGTTCCACAATGCATTCATCCCTCAGTTTCTTCGTCTCCGGGCAAGCACAGCAAATCTTCTTCTTTGGCTTTGAATCTGCAGGGACCGTAGAAGGAGCTGACTTTTCATCTTTTGGATGTTGCGACACAGATATGGCCATTGAAGTGCTCTCTATTGGTAGTCCACCCATTCTCAGGAAAAACTGCAAGAGTTAGGAAACAAAAGATTGATGATGGCTATCCGATTAGCATTCTAATATAGACTCATAAATCAACCAAGAACAAAAATATATACAAAAATCAAAGGATATTAATAGAACAAGCCTTGCAAAAGACAAAAGCCCCAACAAAGGTAACTATCTTTTCTTTTATAAGTAATGAGAAATTTTAAAGATGGTAAACTCCCACCGAGCCAATGCTACAAAAAGAAATTACAAATTGGGCAACTCCCATATCGTGTATAACATTGAATGTACATTGTTTATAAGGGACAAGATGCACCAAGAAGCTAGTAAAGCAATGCATGTGTTTAAGGCAAAGTATATTTGTTTCTTTTGCCAGCAAAATTTCTACTATTTCTTTCAAGTCAAAGAGTCCACCATATGACTTGTGATATGGTGTTACAAGTCTTCAGGGACTTCTTGTTTAGTCCCTTTCTTTTCTGGCAATGCAGTAAACAAGGTAACTGTCTAAAGTACGGATAACCTTTAATATTATAACTATGTCAAACAAATAAGCTGCACAGACCAAAATGTTACCCTACCAATTATCATTTCAAATTGAAATTTCCACTATCACACTTTAAACTGATCAAACTTCTAACGCCTCATGATCAATTGAGAATAAAAAGTGTTGATGAAATCCGATTTCAAATATCTAACCACCATGGCACCACCCATAAGAAGACATGTACAAGAGGAGAATACAAAGCCGTTACAAGAAATTTTACCATCTTCTGAAAAAAAAATTCCTCTTTTTATTTTCCCCAAAGGGAGAGCTCTAGAGTCTAGAATACCTCTGCAATATCTTACTGCATTTCACTCATCCTTTACTTATAAAAAAAGAAAAGGAAAAACACATAGTACCATTTTTTTATTAGATCAAGAGGAAATTTTTTTTTTTTTGTTTTCCTTTTCCTTTTCCTGAGCCGAGGGTCGATTGGAAACAGCCTCTCTGCCCTTTCGGGTAGGGGTAAGGCCTATGTACGTATTACTCTCCCCAGACCCCACCTTGTGGGACTATACTGGGTAGTTGTTGTTGTATCAAGAGGAAAATTACATACTATGTTATCTCCACATAATACACCCAGCTCTAGTTACGATTTTACTCTTTTGCATTCCAGCAATCATAACTAGAGAAAATTTCTTAGTATCAACACGCGCTCAAGTAGTTCCAAGCAATTTCAATATAAAAGGCTCTCATACGACAGAATTTTTTCTTTATACCCCCTCCTTATTTGGCACCCTTCCCCACCCATCATTAACCACCATGCACCTCCCCTATCGTGTATAACATTGAATGTTACATCGTTTATATGAGACAAGTTGCACCAAAAAACTAGTAAAGCAACACATGTGTTTAAGGCCAAGGATGTTTGTCCTTTTGCCAACAAAATTTCTACTGCTTCTTTCAAGTCAAAGAGTCCACCAGATGACTTGTGGCATGGTGTTCCAAGTCTTCAGGGACTTCTTGTTCAGTCCCTTTCTTTTCCGGCAATGCAGTAAACAAAGGTAACTGTCTAAAGTACTGATAACCTTTAATATTATAACTTTGTCAATCAAATAAGCTGGCTGCATAGGTTACCCTACCAATTATCATTTCAAATTAAATTTTCCACTCACAGTTTAAACTGATCAAACTTCTAGCGACTCGTGATCAATTGAGAATAAAAAAATGCTGATGAAATCCGATTTCAAATATCTAACCACCATGCACCACCCATAAGAAGAGAACATGTATAAGAGGAGAATACAAAGCCGTTACAAGAATTCTACCATCTTCTGAAAATTTTCTTCGCTTATTATTTTCAACACAGGGAGAGCTCTAGAGTCTAGAATACCTCTGCAATATCTTACTGCATTTCACTCATCCTTTACTTATAAAAAGGAAAAGGAAAAGCATATAGTACTACTTTTTTATTAGATCAAGAGGAAAATTACATACTACGTTATCTCCACATAGTACACCCAGCTCTAGTTACGATTTTACTCCTTTGCATTCCAGCAATCATAACTAGAGAAAATTTCTCAGTATCAACACGCGCTCTAGTAGTTCCAAGCAATTTCAATATAAAATGCTCTCATATGACAAGAATTTCTTCGTTATACCCCCTCCTTATTTGGCACCCTTCCCCAGCTAGTATCTTTAGAACGAAAGACAAAGACACTTATTTATGTCTGTGAGTATCTTTTAATCCTTCTACACCTGAAGGGTGCCAAAGACTACAGCATTGAAGTAGCTCTCCC